TGAAGGAACAAAAATCTGAGCAACAATGGTTTGAAAAATAAGCCATCAACCTGTTCCTAACGCAATCAACAGAACCTAATAGCCAAATTCAAGTAGGAATAGTGGGAAACAAGGCAAAAACAATTATACATAACAACGAAACCCGAATCCAAAACATCAAATTAGTCGAGTCCAAACCAAAATCGCTATATAAATTCTTATCTTTTTTATTTTTGTGTGGTTTCTATTTGGTTTTTTTTTTTCAATTTATTTAAGATGGAGTTGTGAGTTTCTATTTTTTTAAATTTAATTTATCTGTGATTTCTATTTATTTTTAATTATTATTATTTGGATAAGTTATGATGTGAGCTAGATATACGATTAGACATGTGAGTTTTATTAATTTAAAGTATGATGGTGGGATATATTTTTAAATTAGATTTGTTTGGATAAACTTCATAGATATTCAAAATTTAAAATTTGATATTGAGATGCAAAAGAACGATTTTAATTGAATGAATAAAAATCAAATTTAATAATTTTATTTGTTTGTATATCTGGTTTTTAGTTTTTTTTTATGTCATAATATAATATATAAGATATATATATATATATATATAGATATCTACAACTTTCACAAAAAATATTAATATTTTTTGTGAAAGTTGTGGATATCTATATATATATATATATATCTTATATATTATATTATGACATAAAAAAAAACTAAAAACCAGATATACAAACAAATAAAATTTGAAATCCATAAATTAAGGGATAATTATTATTTTTAAAATAATTAAATAAATAAATCAGTTAATAATTTTTTTAATCCATTTTATAAATTGAAAAATCAATAATTTAAAAAAATTAATTAATTTGTCCCACTTACTGATTTAAAATTTTGACAGATATACATAAAAAAATAAATAATTATATTACTAAAAAATAATTCAAATTTAAATATTGTTATATTTTTCTGAGATCCATATCTAAATTCTTATCTTCTTTATTTTTGTGTGGTTTTTATTTTTTATTTTTTTCAATTTATTTTAGATGGAGTTGTGGGTTTCTATTTTTTTTTAAATTTAATATATCTGTGGTTTCTATTTGTTTTTAATTATTTTTATTTAGGTAAGTTATGATGCTAGTCAAATATGTAATAGATATTTCAGTTTTATTGATTTAAAGTATGATAATGGGAGATATTTTCAAATCAGATTTGTTTAGATGAACTTTATAGATTTTTAATGAGAGCTTTTTTGATAAATCCATTTTCTAAGAGGTTTATTCCATCCAACCCATATTCTTTTTGAGTATTCCATTAGGTCCAATTTGAGATAAGAAGACCAAAATACCCTTTTCATCTACTTATGTTCCATTTAGTTCACATTATTTTCTTATGTTTCAATAAGTCCTACATATCTAAATTTTTATCTTCTTTATTTTTGTGTGGTTTTTATTTTTTATTTTTTTTCAATTTATTTTAGATGGAGTTGTGGGTTTCTATTTTTTTTTTTAAATTTAATATATCTGTGGTTTCTATTTGTTTTTAATTATTTTTATTTAGGTAAGTTATGATGCTATGATGCTAGTCAAATATGTAATAGATATTTCAGTTTTATTGATTTGAAGTATGATAATGGGAGATATTTTCAAATCAGATTTGTTTAGATGAACTTTATAGATTTTTAAAATTTAAAATTGGATATTAAGAGGTAAAAAATATTTTAACTGAATAAATAAAAGTCAAATTTATTAATTTTATCTGTTTGTATATTTGATTTTTAATATAATATATAAGATATAGATAGATACTCACAATTTTCATGAAAAATATTATCTGATTTTTTGGAGGAGAGAAAAAGAATGCAACGAAATATTTTAACTTAATAAATAAAAATTAAATTTATTAATTTTATCTGTTTGTATATCTGATTTTTAAATTTTCTAATATAATATATAAGCTATAGATGAATACCCACAATTTTCATGAAAAATATTATCTGATTTTTTAGAGGAGAGAAAAAGAATGCAATGAAATATTTTAACTTAATAAATAAAAATTAAATTTATTAATTTTATCTGTTTGTATATCTGATTTTTAAATTTTCTAATATAATATATAAGCTATAGATGAATACCCACGATATCCACAATTTTCATGAAAAATATTATCTGATTGTTTAGAGGAGAGAAAAAGAGGACAAGTTTTAATATATACATTTGAAAATTGGTGAAAGAGATTATGATGGAGAGATTATGAAATCTTTTTGTTATCTTCCCATTTGAAATTCATAAATTAAGTGATAATTATTATTTCTAAAATAATTAAACAAATAAATCAGCCAATCGATTTTTTTAATCTATTTTATAAATTGAAAAATCAATAATTTTTTAATGAGAGTTTAGAGCTCTTAGGAGGTTTCTCATTAGAAATCTCATTTTTCTTATATAGATAGATATAGATATTTATATTTGTTTTAGATCTTTTTTTAATATAGAAATTATTTTTTTTAGATTTTTTATAAAAATAATTTAACAATTTCATCACTGACCATAGTGTATGAAAATCAAATTTATTAATTTTATTTGTTTGTATATCTGATTTTATGATGAACAGATTATGAAATATTTTTATTATCTTCTCATTTGAAATCTATAAATTAAGAAATAATTATTACTTCTAATGAAATAATTAAATAAATAAATCAGCAAATAGATTTTTTTAATCTATTTTATAAATTGAAAAATCAATAATTTTTGAATTAAAGTTTGGAGCTCTTAGGATGCAGTAACTATGAGAGAAGTTAAAAAAGCTTGTGAGTTAGGAGAAATCAATAAGATTGGGATATTGGAACGCCAACAAGACTTGTGAGTTACAAACCCTCCCATTTTCTTATATAATATATATATATATATATATACATTCTGAATTTTGCAAGTGAAGTCCTTCTGGAATGCATTATTATTCTTCTATACCACTACTAGGACCACCAGGTTTATTATAGTGGATGTTTCATGCTGTCATGTTTCAAACCGGAAAACATGGAGAATCTCTTGGAAATTATAACTATATTCCACCCAAATTATATGCACAAACCATTAATCATTTATTAACTACCCTGGAAATTTCATTAATAATTAAAGCAAATGTAATTGAGTGCTCTAATATTGATTTGTTTTGAGATTCGTGTAAAATGTGTAGTAGCAGAATAATGTATAAAAAAAAAAATTGTTAATAAATTAAGTGCATTTTGTACATTCTTTATGTTAGTCACAATAATTTACAAACAATGCATTTGAGAAAGATTTTACTTGAAAAATTACATGTTTGCACTTCTTACAAAGTTGCACCTTTAAATTTTGAGAATGAGAAGTTATACGAACATAATTTTTATATGAAATTCAAATTAAAATATTAATTATTATTTCTCATAATTTTGAAAATATTACTACCACAATATTATGAATGAACTTTATGCCTAAATTGTTTGCTTGTAAATATGTTTCTTTTAAAAAATGAATTCGCATAGCAAGTATGTTTTGACACCACCACTCTCTGAATTCATTTAGTTTCTTCACTATTAAAAATGTTACAATTCAAAATTATTTTAAAGCACATAAAAAATTTAAAAATTTTCAGAAAATATTTGTCCCGATTATATAAATCAATTGCAAAAAAAATAAAATAAAATAAAATAAAATAAATCTGGAACCAGCCGGACATCCGGGTGGTCTACCGGGTGGTCATCCGGGTGGACAAAAAAGGCGCCTGTGCATCAGAGTTCTCTCTGCAGAGTGTAGAAAATTGATTTGAAAACGAAACCAAACATCATACTGCAACACACGGGTAGAAAATTGATTTCAGAGCACAACCAAACAGAGCACAACCAAACATCATACTGCAACACACGGGTACAAAGTTGCACCTTTAAATTTTGAGAATGAGAAGTTATACGAACATAATTTTTATATGAAATTCAAATTAAAATATTAATTATTATTTCTCATAATTTTGAAAATATTACTACCACAATATTATGAATGAACTTTATGCCTAAATTGTTTGCTTGTAAATATGTTTCTTTTAAAAAATGAATTCGCATAGCAAGTATGTTTTGACACCACCACTCTCTGAATTCATTTAGTTTCTTCACTATTAAAAATGTTAAAAAGGTATTTTAAAATTTGTAAAATATTTTTGAATTAATTACGTTTAGTATTTTTATCAAAATCTTATTTTGGTTTCTTTACCTTTAATTAGGACATTTATCTTTTTATACTTTAAGTTAGATTGCAATGTCTCTCTTTTGAGGCTGACTAAAATTGAAAAATATACTACAACATGACATTTTGGTAAAATTACAATAGACGAAAGTGAGACTTTAGCTAGAAAGCAGGGTGCATAAAAAAAAAAAAAAAAAAAAAAAAAAAAAAAAAAAAAAAAAAAAAACTCTTGTGGTTTAAATGGTAATTTTATTAATATAATTAATGTTTTTTTTTTTTTTTAGGTCTAAACTATCGGTATCCGGAAGTCCACTGGACCCCGACTAATCCGGTTCAAGCCGGGTAGGACCACAAGGGCGGCAAAGTTTTCCCAACAAGTTTTTAATACAGCTGTGTTCCCAAGTCTCGAACCCAAGATCTTGGTTAAGCTAGCATAGTCTCTTACCAGCTAAGCTACGTGCTTGTTGGTATAATTAATGTTAAATAGACTAAAAGAGTAACATACAATTTAATTTCAAGTGTAAAAAATTAATTTTCATAAATAAATAAATAAAAATGACCAAAGTATTTTTTTTGATAAAAGTTAGCAATTAATCAATAACTTGAATTAAGTGAAAGAACATTATTATTGATGTTTAAAAATTAGACCACATTTTAATTTTATTGACGTGTCAAGAAAAAAATGATTAGTAGATTTAGAAAGTTGGTTTAAAATACTAAAACTGCAATTTGTTAGTTGACAGCTAAGATAAAACAACAAAATTGAAGAGCAATAATGCAAAATAAAATAGTAAAACTGCAATTTTCTTCCATTAATGCCCATGATAATTAGCATCAAAATTCAAGTAAGGAAGAAAAGTACAGAGACTTGAGAGGTTGTATATGTGTTGGATCCACATGAAATAACACTTCCAAAACTTGCCCCCTTAGCGGACAAAGTCAACTGCACCACTCCCCACACAACATATATATACATATACGCAGTTTTCATATGTATATATATGTATATATATATATATATAATAAAAGCGGGTAAAAATGAATTTGAGAGTGCCCAAACGAATCTACGCGGCGGCGATGGTCTCCTATTTGGTGGAGCCGACCTTGGATCCGGCAGCGGCGTTGGCCGGTACAGCTTGTTTCTTGGATGATGCGAGGGAGCACTTGTCTTTTCTCTCGTCGTGGTTCATTTGTTGTTGTCTGCACTCTAGACTACAAAAAGCACTGTCCCCTCTGCAAAATTACCCAAAAAACAAAACACAAACACAAACACAAACACAAACACAAATTACTAATAAAACTAGAGATAGTTGTGATTATTTATTTTTGATGATCAAACTATAGAGAGAGAGTTAGTTGACCCAGATCAATCCAGGCATACATGAGAGTGGTGATTATTTAATTTTTTTATGATAGCATAATTATAGATCAAATCAAATGATATTAGTTTACATTTACTGAAATCGTGCTATTTACGCTTTTATAAACACATCCTTCTAAACAGGAAAACAAAATCTCCAAAAATCAGAAAAGTGAGATAGAGAGAGAGAGAGAGAGAGAGAGAGAGAGAGAGAGAATCCCATCTACCGAAAAGTAGGCAAAGAAAATCAAAATCAAAATTTAAAGTGTTTTTTTTTAAATTTTTTTTTTTTTTTTTTTTTCCAGAAACGAAAACTGGAGTACAAGACTCAAACCCATGAAATTGAAAGAAAACTAATAACTATAAACAATGAATTCTGAGAAACTATGCCTGAGAGCAATCAGAAAAAATGCATATTTCATGGGAGTTTTTGTTATTATTAACAAATTTTAAAAGATTGGAGAGAAAATTAACTCAATAAAGATATTTATATTTATTTGAGTATGAGTTTTTGAGAAAGAGAGGCAACATATACTTGTACATGTAGATGTCACGGCCGGGGACTAAACGGCGCTTACAAAGAGAGCAAGCCCTCAAGAAGTTAGAGGTCTCCAACTCTGCGAAATTCCGACGCTGGTTCCGAGGTGAGGCTGTGGCGGCGCCACAGTCAACGCCACCGCCCTGCGGCGGAGGAGGGGCCTCTGCCATGCATAGATCCAAGGTGAACTCAGTGATGCTAGTAGTTCTCTTCATCGGAGGGCGTGGTCTCTTCCCCAACAACATCTTCTTCTCCTTCTCTCTTTCTCTCGCTTTTCTTACTATTATTATTATTACTCTGCTACTCTTGGAGGCTGACGATATAGAAAGAGAGAGAGACAGAGAGTGAAAATTTTAGAGAGAGTTTTTTTTTGGAGAGAGTTTGGGAAGAGGGGGGGAGTGGGAATGGAGATGTTGGGAGGATAAATGGAGGGAGGGGGATGCAGGGTAGGAGAGAATCTGGACCGTTGCGTTTTTTCAGCCTCTGCGATTGAGGGACGTCCACGTCAGTGATTCTCATTTGTCTTTGGAGACAGCACCTTCAAATTCGAGATGATGCAAGCTTCCATTTGCTCCAAAATTATGCGGTTGTTTTTGTCTAATATGGGCTGGTCTCATTTGCTGGTCAATTTGAAAGAGTGCTTAATTTTAAGGTCGATTCGGTGATTTGAACGTTTTTTTTTTTTTAAAGTAAAATATTTATAAAAAAATTAAAAAATAATCAAATATCAATAATTATATGATTGAATCATAAATAAATAATTATTTTTGAAATTATGTTTACTATTTATTTTTTTTAAATAAATATAATTTAAATATATAACTATTAATATCTGATCATCTTAATTTTTTGTATGAATATATTCTACTAAAGGTGAACGGTTCATATTATCAAGATTGGTCCCAAATATAAGCTCAAACGTTATCTCAAGTTGAATGGTTAACTTGAGAGAATTCAAACTCAATTAATATTTACTGGTTAAAATTATAGTTTATTTTTTTTTATTTTTTGGTGATTTTGAAGAAGTTACAAGTGTCAAATGCTAAATGGCATCTAGTAATATTTGAAAATTACCAAATAATCAGTCTCCATTTGCCTTTATAATGCTTTATTTACTGGTTAACCTAAGGGGTTGTGGCACTTTGGTAAGGCTTTAAGACATAAATCCTGAAATCTCAGGTTGTATATTCCCTAGGACCAACTCCGAGAGGTTTGGTGTAGTGGTCTTAGGATGGCTCTTTAAATACTGGACGACTCGTATCTAGAGGTTGGGTGTAAGGTCGAATTCTGGCAGCTACAATTTTTGACTAAAATGGTGTGTGCATTGTGGAGTTGGTGCATACACTCGAGGTTTGCCTCTCGTCCTACTCCGGTTAACCAACATTAGGTAGTTGATTTCGAAATCTGTAGAGGACTGGTTTGGAAAGTTTACGCATTAACCAAAAAAAAAAAAATAATAATAAGTGGAAAAATAAAGTCTAGTAGAATAAATAGATTAGGTGTATGTTAAATAGTTTGTTTATCATAGATGTTAAATAGCTTGTTTATTGTAGTTTATAAATAGATGATGTAATACCTATTGAGTTTTCGGAATAAAAAAATATATATTGAGATTGGAGTAGAATTTGGTTTCTCTCTCTAACCCTTGGTGGTTTTATCCCTAATTGGGGTATTTGTCTTCTCTTTCTCAATTTGATTCTTGATTTGCATGTAAATTACATCATTTGGTATTAGAGCAAAGATTTTGATCCTATTGTCTCACAATCTAAATGGTTCCTCATCTAAATTCAACACCATGGAACCCATGCACCTGATTTGGAGCCTTCGTCGTTGTTGAAATTCGACTTGGAAGATTCAATTCCTCTTAGTTGCGATTCGTGTTCGGCTTTTCGATTGACACTAGAATTCGAAGCTCTCTCTTATTGATTCAAGTTCTGGTTCTCAGCTAACCCTAGTCAACGAAAGACACAGTTGCAATTCGAAGTTTTGTGTAACTTCAGTTCAAAGGATATGGGTGATTCGAGTTCACAAGGGTAATCTAGGTCTTGATTCGTCACTGATTAAAACTCAATCAATCAATTTCGCAGGTCACTCTTTCACTTCGAATCTGGATTTCAGTTCGAGATCATGACTTCTGGCCCTTGAATTCATATGCGACTCGCATCAAACCAGTTTCGAATCCTAGTTTTGTTCTCTTGCAATGAAATCATACCTGGGCTGTTCTTTGGAGTTGTTCTGGACTCGATTGATTGAAATCAACATGTGGTTTCGATTTGTGATCTGAGTTTGTGACTCAAGGAATCCAAATCTAAATCCATTTCGAATCGTTCGTGAAGCCTACTCAAGTTCGTGACTCAAGGAATCAAAATCTAGATTAGGTGTATGTTAAATAGCTTGTTTGTTGTGGTTTATAAATAGATGATGCAATACGTATTGTACTAAGTTTTTGGAATAAAAAAAATATACATTGAGATTGGAGTAGAATTTGATTTCTCTCTCTAACTCTTAGGTTCTTTGGAGTTGTTCTGGACTCGATTGATTGAAATCAACATGTGGTTTCGATTTGTGATCTGAGTTCGTGACTCAAGGAATCCAAATCTAAATCCATTTCGAATCGTTCGTGAAGCCTACTCAAGTTCGCGACTCAAGGAATCAAAATCTAGATTAGGTGTATGTTAAATAGCTTGTTTGTTGTGATTTATAAATAGATGATGCAATACCTATTGTACTAAGTTTTTGGAATAAAAAAAATATACATTGAAATTGGAGTAGAATTTGATTTCTCTCTCTAACTCTTAGGGGTTTTATCCCTAATTGGGACATTTGTTTTCTCTCTCTCAATTTGATTGTCTCCATAAATTGCTCAGAACAATGATGTGTGGTGGAGATTATTTGAATTTTGTAAAGTTTATGTATAGAATAAATTTAAAACACAGATTAAATTTCTAATAAAATTCTAGATAAGTTTCCTGGATTGATAGTATTTTACTATAATAAAAAACTATGGAAAATATTATAGGTCTCAAATTTCTCACCAAACAAAGACCAAATGTCTCACATGAGTTTGTAAACCCCACACCTATGTGAGATATTTGGTCATTTATTTAGTAAAAAATTTTGATATCCCTAACATTACTCAAAAATTATTAAATAGCGGGGAGTATTATGCCATATCTTATGTGATACTTTTAATAAATAAAAAATAATAATTTAATATTAAGCTAGTTATATTTTGTTTTTAAATTGCTTAACAAAAGTAAATCTCACATAAAAAGTCACTATATCGTTAATTTGAATTAATATGTATATTCATTTATTTTAAATATTTTTTTTATTAAATTGTCATAATTTTTAAAATGTGGCTCAACTCATTTTCTCTTCTCTGATGTCAAAATAATGCCGTAAAAACAATCATTAGCATTTTTCTATACAAAAGGTTAAAACTTGCGATCAATTTGATTGAACCATCCAATTAGTCTTCCGAGAATTATGGCTCCAAGGACTTTGCACCAAATGAAGTGACTGAGTTTGCGATGCGAAGGGAAGCTGGAAAATGGCAAGTCGGCAATATTTTGCTATTTAAAAAATTTAATAATAAAATTAAAGTAAATTTCAAATTTTTATGACTCCATATGGTCACACCATAAATAATTGTGTTTACTTTTCTAATTAATTTACGTAAAAACAATAAATAAAATTATTTGTTATAGTTTTAAAGAGGTGCTAATATAATCATTACAACGTTAAAGAGCTAGCAGCACCGTGTCAGCTCTATTGTGAAATATTTAGATAATTATCAAAAGAGACGTAATTGAAATTTTAATGAGTTTTGAATCAAAGTTGAAATAGAGAAAAATTTTACCATGCGAGAAGTGTGGTATGTCATGTGATAAATCACATGATATGATGAATAATAGTATATAGTGGAGGTTTTATTACCTATAAATAGGTGTGTTTTCATGGTAATGAATATAGAGAAAAATTTGGTATTATATGTATGATCTTTTATTTACTCTTCCATTATAACTCTTTCTTCTTTATTTTTTTTTTTCAGCTCTAGATTTTAGCCATTTGAGAAGACAAAGCTACTAAGTGATTGTATTAAGTATAAATAAATTCTAAAGCTAATTTTATATTTCCTTAATATATTTACTTGATACTAAATATATAATTTTTGTTAAATTTAGTAATCATGCCAAATCTTTCAAAATTAGAATTCTCAGCTCTTGACATTTCTAGCAAAAAAAAAAAAACATTTATCTTTAATTCTTGAGGTTGAGATCTACCTCGAGGCAATGAATCTTGGGGATACCATAAAACATAAAAATAAAGCATCCCTGCAAGATCACGCAAAAACAATGATATTCATTCGCCATCATCTCTAAGAAGAATTAAAAATGAGTACCTTACGGTAAAAGATACACTAATTTTGTGGAATAATTTGAAGAAGTGATACGAACACCAGAAGACTGTAATCCTCCCAAGAGCCTGTTATGATTGGTTGCACCTGAGGTTGCAAGATTATAAGTCAATTAGTGAGTACGATTCTCCTATATGTAAAATAATTTCTCGATTAAAATTACATGGAGAAAAAAATACTGAAGAAGATATGCTTGAAAAAACATTCTCTACATTCCACGCTGATAATGTGCTCCTGCAACAGCAATATAGAGAGCCTCATTTTTCAAAGTACTCTAAACTGATTTCATGCCTTCTTGTGGTTAAACAAACTAACCAATTCTTATTGAAAAAATTATCTATCCCGTTGTAGACACCCCATTTTTGACCGTCCTTATGACTTGGACGTCATCGCTTGCACACCTAATGATGAGTGGATATGCTTGTCAAGTGTTCGAAGTCCTCAGCAAAATGTCATCGCTTTGAGCCTTTCAAACCCTATACCTCTGTTGCCTTGTTTTTGGACCAAAACCTTGGATTTTCAATCCTGCAACCTCTTGTGGCCTGCCGGCCATTGCTATGGGCTGCCGGCCATTTCTTCTAGTTGTCGGCCACTGATGTGGCCTACCGGCCACCAATGTATTTTGCAGATTTTTTCTGCCAACTGTGCCAGCTGTTGGCACAGATGCATGAACCTTCCTACATGTGTATATATAGATATTTCTGAGGAAGTTGCATCGTTTTCTATATATAGGAGGCCTCCCCTTCTATTTTTAAGGTTGAATTTTTTTAGAGCAAAAAATTCTCTCTCTCTCTCTCTCTTGAAATTTCTTAGCTTTTTGTAAGCTTCAGCCTATACACTCTTAACCAAACCTCTCCATCTTTGAGCTGAGGTATCTTTGAGCTTTGTTTGAGCTCTTGAGGGTGTGTTTGTCTTGATTTGTTGCCTAGAATTGGTTCTCCTCTTCAAGAGGTATAAAGCTTTGTTTCTCTACTTGCTTTATTTACTCTTTT